TGTAATCGAGTGGAGGTGCTCCTGAGAGCGCCCCTCTACGTCCCTGACACATGGGTGGTAACCGAAGTGTCTTCTACCTGATTATTTCGGTGAGTGATTAATGTAAACATACGGATTTCACGCGGTAGTGTAGGTAAACCCGTGTCCCGGTATTTATGATCCAAGCGCAGGCATTGTTTACATTTAAATAACTCACTTTGAGAAAACAAGGTTACGCGTCTAAGAATATATGATTGGTAACGCGTTGCTGAAATCCTTCTAATACATTTCGTCAAACTTACTTCTATCCCCGCGGCAACGCGCGGGGGACGGGTACGCTAGTATATAAATATTCTGAAGGCAACATTTTTGTATTTTATATGTCCTGATTATGTATTTATACTATATTATTATGTTTGCCTACAACTGCTAAAAATGTTTATTTATAGGGCCCCTATTCCTTGCTTACGCTAGCTTTAAGGTAGCTACGCCACTGTGTCAGTGGTCATTTTGTCTGGAGCCAAATTGACAGGAGCCTTCTTGTCGTGAGCCAAAATGACGCTAGCCTATTTGTCGGGAGTCGTAATGACGGGGGCCTTTTTGTGGAAACTAAAGGGCGGGAGCCTATTTGTCGGGAGTCGTAATGACGGGGGCCGTTTTGTAGAAAAAAAAACTAAATGACGGGAGCCTATATGTCGGGAGCCAAAATGACGGGAGCCTATTTGTCAGGAGCCTTATTGACTGGAGCCCTTTTGTCGGGAGCATATATAACGGGAGCCGATTAGTCGGTAGCCTAAATGACGGGAGCCTATTTGTCGGGAGCCTATATGACGGGGTCCATATGTTGCTGGCCCTTTTGACGGGGTCATTTTGGCGGGGCCGATTTGTCGGGGCCGATTTGTTGGGGTCGTTTTGACGGGGTCATTTTGTCATTGGCCGTTTTGACGCCGCACGTATATATATATATATATATATATATATATATATATATATATATATATATATATATATATAACTAAACCGCCCATTTCGAAAGAAAGGAGGTGTGTAGGAATGAATAGAACATAAGTAAATAGATGAGCATATTAAACTACACCATACATACTTAGCACACGTGCTCAAACTCTACAGATAGTATTGAAAATATAGGTTTTCTACTCAGGGAAGTGTAAAACGTCGATTTTTAACACGATTGTAATACTGTTTCTAAAGCATACGAGAAAGTAAAAAATTATTTATTTGCCTATTTTTCATGTTGCATTTCCCTTTCATTAAAACTTCACGAAATTGTATAAAAAATCTGATTGTGTAGCTTTTATACAAATGGGACTGCAAATTAATATAAGCACTAAATCAAATACAAAATGTATGCATAAACAAGTTATAAAGTCAGTTGTCGATGTTGTGACTTTGTGTTATCGAACCAGTCGCCATCCAGAATTGTATTCGATTTGATATTAAAGACCTCACACTGTGAGGGACGGAGTGGTCTAGCGGTAGAGAGCTAGACTGCTAACCCGTAAATCTCGAGTTCGAATCCGGGTTTAAGTCAGTAGACCGTCCCTGAGTCCACCCAACTCTGATGGAAAGTAAAGGCGGCTGTGCATAGTGCTGACCACACTATCTCTTCATATGCCGAGGTCACAGAAACAAGTGAACTCTACTTCACTTGCCCCATAGACCGTCAAGTTTGAAAGGGAAACTTAACTTTTTACTTTTACCTTACACTGTCTACAAATATTGGGCACACAAAGCATCCTCTGGACGTTTCTTTCAATGTATTGTTAGACATCGGATGAGTTTAACCAAATATGAAATAGAACTTCCACACTTCAAACCCTAAACAGTAAAGTAATGAAATAAGGGATTGTTGACACAAATGTTTTAATCTGAAAACATTAGGCTTATATTTTATATCTATGTGTCTCAGTGGCGTAGCGAGGTCGGGTGTCACACGGTGCGGCATTTAATGGTGTCACCCCCCACAGGCGTAGCTACCCTTCCCGGGGACAAATTTTCGATTTGCACCCCCCCTCAAACTTTCGATTTGCACCCCACCCCCCTCAAACTTTCGATTTGCACCCCCCCCCCTTTCAAGTTTATCTCTATATATTTTGCTATTTTTTGCTTTGGTGTCACCCCCCTAAATGGTGTCATCCGGTGCGGTCCGCACCGCCGCCCCCGACCCCTCGCTACGCCTCTGGTGTGTCTGTATCTAAACATTAAAGAAATGAAAATTATGAATAGCTGATAGTTGACAAACATATTTTAATCTGAAAACAGTATATTTAAAATCTGTGTGTCTGTGCCAACATAAGGTGCAGCGCTTGATTGTGAACGCGAAATTCTCCTGTTTTGAACCTAATCTCGATTCCGTCCAACTCTAATGGGTACCTGAATAAAACTTATACTCCATGAATTATCGAATCTGTCCGGTCTATGAAGAACTTGAAATGTGTCTCTGTAAGAAGGACGTCTACAATTCAAAACTGCAGAAAAGAAATGTATCGCTCGGCATGAAAAGCAGTTTTATGTTATTCGTAACAGCAAAAAGAAACTTGTCACAACATATTTTGATATAATGGTATACGATCTACAACCATACAATAAAATCTAACTCGAAACAAATATGTATTTGTACGTATTAGTCGTCGTTGTCGATCAAACGAACTTCATTACTGAATAAAACTTCGTTTTCTTCTTTCTTAATTCCAATATGGGACGAGATTTCCTACAACACAGAGTATTACGTGTCAACATGTTGTGTGACATATGGCCCGTTGACCCCAATTTCAGCCTGCTTTTTTGTGCATTCGCATTGTCCGTCCAAGAATAAACTACAAAGCATCAGTAACTGTTGTTTAATATTGGAGTTATCTCTCCTATGTGGGTTGTTGTCCGTTGGTAAGGCGCTCATCCAGGTTGATTTGAGCTCGTTTTAGCAATCATGACTTCAACCTCCGTACCACGCCGCACCAAAGTATTTTCTAAAACTTTGCAGTGAGTCGACAATCAAATATATTGTAGTTATGTTATAAAATATGTATTTTTCATTCATGTCTTAGTATTAAGAGTATAAACAGTTATATACTCTATAAGCAACCAAGTTAGGGATCGTGCATATGTTATATTAATTAAAGTGCTTCCACTCCAAACAGCCACACCATATGATAAAACAATTCTAGAAACCACCACCGCCCTCTTTTCTCCCACCCCCCCCCCTCTCCCAATCTTCTCACGCTATCTATACATTAATAAGAACAAAACAAATGTCGTTATTAAAATAAATGACAGCAATAACTAGATTTTTAGTGAAAATCACTATTTCCAATACTCTGAAAGCCGTTGGTGAAAACTATAACTATATTTAAAAACACAATCAATACATTTGTGTGTTGACATTTCAGCTAACCGCACAGGGAGACAACTCTCACTGATCTTTGTAATAATGAACTCTGTGTCACAAACTCATTCAATATATTTGTTTAAAAAATGACGTGCATCACGATAATGTTCCCGTTTTATTTTTTATCTATTGTTAAGTAGATAGCTAAGATTTTATGAGTGTTTGCAGCCAATTAGAATTATCAAAACAAAACAAAAAATGGCATTCAGAAATTTGACAAAGACAGCTGTTCAACTTGACGTATATCAGATTGACATAATAACTTACTACTAGTCTTTATGAACCATAAAAAATATAACTATTTTTGTGTCAATCTTGAGGAATTTATGTTTTATTTACGATGTACTTTGTTAAAGGTTAACGTTAAATACAAAAAGTAATAATGCTATTAGATGTATACGATGTTTACTAGAATAAAGTATTTTAACAAGGGGTAAGGGGAGATGACTTCACCGGCAAGCTTGGTTGAACGGATGGTGATATCCCCTTTGCTACTTACAGTCAGTGTAAATCTTCACACAAAAACAGTTGAAAAAGAAAATGTTCGCTTAACTCTGGTCCTAAAATTTCACAAAGTAAAGAGAGTGTTTTTTTTTTTAATTTCATGTCTTGGGCTATGAAACACTATTATTCGTCATATATGTGATTTACTGGAAGATTAGTAAAACAAAACGTGTATACATTGTATACTTTATTTGAGGGGTAATGTGGCCGTGTAGTAAAGCACAAGACTGCCAAACCTAAAGTTTTTCGACTCATTCGTTCTGGTATTTTCGTAGACTTCCCTAGATCAAATCATCTCTGACTGGTTACTCACTCTTTGACTCTAGTCCTTCCAATTCTTATTGTTACCCGATTCTACCAATCTCTGATGGGCCCCTGACTTTAGTCCTTCCAATTCTTACTCTCTGGTGGGTACTTAATCTAGTCCTTCTAATTCGTATAGGTACCTGCTTGACATGAAATTTCCTCGCAATGGAATTAAACAAAATATATACGTTTTATTATGTTTCTGGACGATTTAGCCTCATAAGGCATGTTATGGTGCGTGTTCTGTGAGTACATATTGGTACGAATGAATGTTGGTGCGGGTTTGTAATGAACAAATGGAGGTGTGACGCGTATAAAAGGTAGTGACTTGCAAGGTAGACAACGTTGTTGCCATAGAATGAATGCTAAGTAGTTCAGTTATGCTATTGATGGGGAAGGAAATCTGCGTACTGTAAATGACCAGTCTACTTGGATAATAAAATGTCGTTGTTATGTACTTTTGAATAAAACCCAAAAAGACAGAAAGAAATAAGTATCCCGTCTGTTATAGTCATTTTGTCTTTGACCAATGACTATTGGTAGTGGAACGCCTAAAATGATGGTGTGAAAGGTAAAACCCTCTCACAGCAACTTTAACACTTGGTGGAGCAGCGGGGTCAATTTAACAAAACACTTGCGTAATTACAAATATCCAACAAAACTACGTTATTTCCCAAAAAGAATTGCATGTTAAAAAAAGTACAAAGGCGTAACATGATTCATAATGTTTTTCTCTTTCATCTTATAAATAAACCTTTAAATCACAACAATCATATCATATTTCAGACAAAAGTTGCCTAAAGTTATGGATACAAGTAAAACCCATCAGGAACAAATGCTGCAGAACACGTCAGAACTCCAACAACTGGTTCTCACAGACACGAGCCAATACATCGTGGACGTCTACATCATCACCGTCGGCTCCACTCTTGTCGCCATCCTCGGCATTATCGCCAACGTCATCAACCAAGTCGTCTTCGCCAAGATCGGCTTCAGGACATCCATGAATCTTTCCTTGTTCATCCTCTCTTCAAGCGATTGCTTCATGGGTTGCTGTACTATAGCTTACAACGTTTGCCGTATCTCCAGAATTTTCCCTACCGATTCTATCATAGATTACAAAGTACCTCAAAGAGCTTTTGCATACGCTCGCATCGCGTTCACAGATTTCTCATCCGCTATAACAATTTACATCTCGATAGAACGCTGTCTTTGCGTCACTTTTCCGTTCACTTTTAAATCAATGTTCACTATGAAACAAACTCTAATCACCTTGTTTAGCATCATTCTGTTTTATCTGGCAAACGAACTGCCGTTATTCTGGACAATGTGTGTTGAGCTCAAGTACGACATCACGCGACATTTTATGCGGTACTTCCTCTGCGAGACCACACTCCACAACGAGGTTGTCATGTCCAATGACATCATCTTCGGCCTTATCATGTCAAGCGTCTGCCAATTCTCGTCAGCTTTTTGCGGGATTGTCATGTACAGAGCTTTACAAAAATCATCTACAATTCGTACCGCTGGCAAAAATCACTTTCTTAACTCCGAAACTCCAAACGCGAATTCGTTATCGGTGAAAGAAAAACGTTTAGTTAAAATGGTTTTGTTGCTTGTCATTTTGTACATCCCGACAAGTTTACCCAATTTTATCATAGGATGGGTTCGACTTTTTTACCCGGAGATATTTTCATGGACGGTTTCGAACCTGTTTAACTTCTACACTTTAAACAACCTGGTCAACCTCTTTGGTAATATTCACGGGGCTATCACCATCTTGATATACGCGGGGTTTAACCCAGCCTACCGGCAATACTTCGTCTTCGTTCGCTGTCGTAAGATGAAGGCTAAAGAAAAAGAAAGCCAGGTGTATAATAAGTAACCCCGCACGTACTATTACGATGCTCTCTCGAATAGTAATCGTAGTGGCTAGGGTCCCAAAATACCTAAATAAGATTCAACATTTTCCTAGTTTGTTTTTATGTGTTCTACAAGAACAGAATCAAGCATTGCGCTTTTTAAGCGTTGTAACTTCTTTTCAGTTGTTTGCTAGAGTAAAGTTATTATATAGGTTTTAGCATAACATTTTAATCCTAAATAGTTTTCAAAAATACACGAAGCACATGCACTCTCTCTCTCTCTCTCTCTCTCTGTTTATATATATATATATATATATATATATATATATATATATATATATATATATATATATATATATATATATATGTGTGTGTGTGTGTTTATGTGGATGTGGCTGTATGTTTGGTAAAATGTTGTAGGTGTATAAAGCATTATCATTATGATTAAAGTTAAAGACAGATACATGTGAAGTTGAAAGAAATATATTCAATTACGATTTTAAAAGAGATTAATTTGTTACACATATTCGGCAGTTGAAAACCATGCGTGCATTTAACCTTGTAAAAACTGTAACTTTGTAGCATTCAATCAAAAAATTAACAGACGACTGTATAAGTTAGATATCTTTATTCAGCTCTATTGTTAGCATGTCTGGCAAAATCTGGACTTTATATCATAAAGGCCGTCAGACAAGTCAAATGTAACTCACTCAGTTCTTCTGTGAAAACATTTAAAATACTTATTAATTTTTTTTAAAATTATAGTCGAATATATAACAACTAAACCAAATGTACTATTAAAATTGACCGTCCTAAACTAAATTTCCGAAAACTAAGATTTAATGTTTATGTTTTACCTGTCTTTTGTAAGCAGGGATGCCGTCTATACGACCTGTAGCAGCGCCACTCCATCCTAAAAATACGGTCTTGCTGTCACCCCATCCTTTGTTATTGTCACCCCATCCTTTGTTATCGTCACCCCATCCTTTGATGCCATCACCCCATCCTTTGTTATTGTCACCCCATCCTTTGATTACGTCACTCCATCCTTTGTTATTGTCACCCCATCCTTTTTTATTGTCACCCCATCCTTTGTTATTGTCACCCCATCCTTTGATTACGTCACCCCATCCTTTGTTATTGTCACCCCATCCTTTGATTACGTCACTCCATCCTTTGTTATTGTCACCCCATCCTTTTTTATTGTCACCCCATCCTTTGATTACGTCACCCCATCCTTTGTTATTGTCACCCCATCCTTTGATTACGTCACTCCATCCTTTGTTATTGTCACCCCATCCTTTTTTATTGTCACCCCATCCTTTGATTACGTCACCCCATCCTTTGTTATTGTCACCCCATCCTTTTTTATTGTCAGCCCATCCTTTGTTATTGTCAGCCCATCCTTTGTTATTGTCACCCCATCCTTTGCTTACCTCACCCCATCCTTTAATTGCATCACCCCATCCTATGTTATCGTCTCCCCATCCTTTGTTATTGTCACCCCATCCTTTGCTTACGTCAGCCCATCCTTTGCTTACCTCACCCCATCCTTTAATTACATCACCCCATCCTTTGTTATTATCACCCCATACTTTATTATTGTCACCCCATCCTTTGCTTACGTCACCCCATCTTTTGTTATTGTCACCCCATCCTTTGATTACGTCACCCCATCCTTTGTTATTGTCACCCCATCCTTTGTTATTGTCACCCCATCCTTTGTTATTGTCACCCCATCCTTTGTTGTCTAATCCCCATCCATTTCCTGTCCAGTTTACCATTTTTTCTAAGAAATCCAGAAACTGTTTCACCTTCTCCATACTGTAGAATAATTTTTTTATATCAAATTTAGAATATAAAATCCAAAATGTACCAACAACAAAACGTAGTGAACTAATTTTCAGCTGTATGTGTTGTCTTGCCATTTTTTTATCAGCTCCGTCTTCACTCAGTCAGAAAGTGAGATCTAACTCTAATTAAATTTCTTACTTTTCTTTGACTTTCTGCCATTCCTTAAACTTGTTGTAATCATCCTCGCAAGCTCCTAAATCCTCCTGAAACTGTAGGAATTTCGTAAACTCAACAAATATCTGTTGGACTTCGATCTTTTGTAAGATCATATTCTTCTGCTCTTTAAGATGTGTGTAGCCCTGGAAATTATTTTAACACAATTAAACAGTTAATATAGTCTGTAACCTGCTTGTGTTGTTTCAACTACCTCGTATAAGTATGGACCATGCTTTATTCAACTTAGTTACACATAATAATATATAGTCTAAAAACGTTTTGTTAATTTCAATAACAAGCGGTCTGAATAAAGTATTTCAAATAAACATGAAAAGTGATACTTTATTTGATGTTAAAACGATAGTTTTTTGTGTGAGAAAAAAAAATGTGTATAAGCTCAGATGAACATTATAAAGCAACTAAAACCATACCTACAATAAAACATAACATGTGGTGTACATTTGTTTCTATTTTTTGAATTAGTATTCTTAAATCTAACTCGTGTCTTATTTCGAAACATTATGGTTATGTTTGTTGTGTTAGTATGTTATAATATAGCCAAAATATGCACTGCTACTTTACAATTAGATACCTAACTATATATTCATTTGACATAGTGTTATGATCGGGACCGCTTTGTTTACTTACTTTGGCAGCGAAAAACGCAAATTTACTGCGAGCCTCGTTTTCATCATCGTCGTCGAAAAATCGTCTAAAATCGTTAGGCTTATGGTCGTCTAGATGTCGACGTATGCTCATGAGGGAGCCGTAGACTGGGTGGTTGTCTTGTTTGCCAACCCGGTCACCACCCAGCAAGTCCAACCCCCACTGGGAGAAGACACTGTGGTCATCTGGGATGTCATGACGTGGTAGAGCGGACTGGATCAGTAGTTGGAGCTTCAGGAAAAGTGCAAAATGGCTGCCGTCTTTCTCATAGCGGTCTCCTCCGTCTGTGAGTTAAAATATTTAAAAAAGTGAGTGGTTATTTAAGGTCACGATACAATAGAAACATAGTTGCGACTCGTCAGAGTTTGGCTTTTTAAAAAAGTGTAAACGTTTATTATTTTTGAAATATGAAGGGATTTACAGCGAAACCACACTTGTCAGATCCATCATAGTTCATATAGTGTCAGCAGTGCAAAGTTTAAGCTTAGTGTTTCTTTTAAGATTCTCTTTGGGGCCACCAACCCCCCCCCCCCCCCCCCCCCACACACACACACAAGCTCGACTACCACCCCACCCATGAATGAAATAGAATTTATATAGAAATATATATTTTAAACAGTATCCGACTCCCGGAAATTTTTTGTCACCCACCCCACCCCCTTGAAAGTTGGAAGTGCATTTCCCCCTCCCCCTTCCCGCAGGAGAAAAGTGAAAAAGAGAAGAAACACTGCTTGCTATACTAAAAACAGAACAGTATCAGCAGGAAAGAGGTGTTATACGTACAGAAGTTGATTGGTGAGTTCAAGTCACCCCGGAAGTATTCATTCACTGAGTTGTCGCCCCATCTCTCACATTTACGATAGAAGGCACATTGCTTGAAACTTGTGAACTCTTGTTTAAGCTTCAGCTAAATATTTAAAACATGATTTTTGTTTATATAAAAGTTTTACTAAAATTTTAAACACGTTACAGTAAAAGATTTTGAAATCATATAGTCCAGACTTCCACAGAATAAAAAAATTAAAAATAAATATCCATTTTTTAGGTACGTTTTTCCTATAATTTAAAAGTTGAATTTAGCATATATTTTGTTTTTAACTGTTAAACTTTTTTTCAGAAAAAAAAAGATAAAATAAATATTTATACTTTAATCTATATTGAAACTACTCATAAGAGTTGCATTATTTTGAAGTGTTAGGTATAGGGCTGGTAAGTAGGTCATTAACCAGTTCTATGGCTTATGCAGGTTTTATTGAGCCGTAGAGCTATGGATACTCTATGTGTTTAAGAAAACAATATTCAGCAGTGAATACATTTACCTCGGTGATGCTGTACAAGCTTCTAGTTACTTTGTTGTCGTATCGCAGTTGTTGAGCGAAATAAACCATTTCAGAGAACAAAGCGAACTGAAGCTTGACTTTTTTCTGGTGAGGAAGTTAAACGAACATAGTGGATATACTTAGTTGTGAGTGTTTGTTAATGTATAAGAAAGTACCCCTTTTAGTAACAAATTGCAACATTTTCTAAAATGCATTATCAGTATGGAGAAGAAATGAAATATTTATTATGAAATTTAAATTTTTAGATTTAAAAAAAAATATTTGTAATATTAACCGTCATAAATTTTACTTCTATAATTTCCACAATTTACTGTAAGATATTTGCTGTCTTGAGCAAACAGCTCAAAGCTATTCTCAATTGACAATCAGATAAGAACACGGCTAAGACTTGAGCATTTCTCTCTCAACCCCGTTACCAGCCGCTAGACACTTTTTAAATACTGTTTTGTTTCTCCCTCCCCCACTGTATCGTGCAACCTAGTTTAAATATGGGGCTAAGTACGATCGTAACTTAAGGTATAACAACAGGTCCTAGTTCTACGGCTAGACTACGCCAATGCCCTTACCGGAAGAGATTTAAGATTAGAGGAGGATTATAAAACAAGTAATCTGAGAGATTAGAGTTAATATTAGAGTTAGGATTATACAACAAGTAAACTAAGAGATTAAAGTTAGAATTATAAAACAGGTTAACTTAGAGATTGGAGTTGGATTATGGTTAGGATTGTAAAACAAATTAACTAAGAGATTAGAATAGGAATTGTAAAACAAGTTAACACAGAGATAAGAATTAGGATTATAAAAAAAGGCTAAGGTGTTAGAGTTATGTTTATAAAACAAGTTAACTAAGAGATTAGAGTTAGGATTATAAAGCAAGTTAACTGAGAGATTAGGGTTAGGATTATAAAACAAGTAATCTGAGATATTAGAGTTATGTTTATAAAACAAGTTAACTAAGATATTAGAGTTGTGTTTATAAAACAAGTTAACTAAGATATTAGAGTTATGTTTATAAAACAAGTTAACTAAGATATTAGAGTTATGTTTATAAAACAAGTTAACTAAGATATTAGAGTTATGTTTATAAAACAAGTTAAGTAATAGATTAGAGTTATGTTTATAAAACAAGTTAAGTAAGAGATTAGAGTTATGTTAATAAAACAAGTTAACTAAGATATTAGAGTTATGTTTATAAAACAAGTTAAGTAATAGATTAGAGTTATGTTTATAAAACAAGTTAAGTAAGAGATTAGAGTTATGTTAATAAAACAAGTTAACTAAGATATTAGAGTTATGTTAATAAAACGAGTTAACTAAGATATTAGAGTTATGTTTATAAAACAAGTTAAGTAATAGATTAGAGTTATGTTTATAAAACAAGTTAAGTAAGAGATTAGAGTTATGTTAATAAAACAAGTTAACTAAGATATTAGAGTTATGTTTATAAAACAAGTTAAGTAATAGATTAGAGTTATGTTTATAAAACAAGTTAAGTAAGAGATTAGAGTTATGTTAATAAAACAAGTTAACTAAGATATTAGAGTTATGTTTATAAAACAAGTTAAGTAATAGATTAGAGTTATGTTTATAAAACAAGTTAAGTAAGAGATTAGAGTTATGTTAATAAAACAAGTTAACTAAGATATTAGAGTTATGTTTATAAAACAAGTTAAGTAATAGATTAGAGTTATGTTTATAAAACAAGTTAAGTAAGAGATTAGAGTTATGTTAATAAAAAGAGTTAACCGGCCCCTACCTCAGGCTGGTAGTCTGTGAGTAGCGTCATCTCTCTCTGTTTCTGTGAGTGGGCCCGGAACTTCAAGTACAGTCCGAACAGTCTCCTGTGACGGTCTTCCACCGTGACGTCATCGCACAGCTCGTCCCACTCCTGCTGCTCGGAGCCGTAAGAGTCGAACAGGCTGGAGCCGGAGTTTGTGAATTTTCCCTGCCCGGAGCCGTACTTTGTGTCTTTGTTCCACGTGATCTAGAAGTGTTAAAACGGGAAGCGTTACATCTAAGCTAGTTCATGTTTGGACTCAGAGTTTCTTCCAGGCATCTCTTTGGAGGGGGGCGCAGTCCCCCCCCCCCCGAAGAAAGTCTACCGCCCCGAACGAAATGGAATTTATATAGAAAATATATACTTTTACTAGTGTTCGCCCCCCCCCCCCCCGGAAAATGTTGACCGCCTCGCCCCCGATAATATCATGTGCCCCCCTCCCTCCCCTCCCCCCCCCCGTAGAAAAAAGTCTGGAAGAAACACTGGTTGGACTTAATATGATGACCGGCGAATGTAGTCATAAATTCGAAAAAAATTTAATAAGTGTGCAAAACCAGAAGTTTAAAATATATGTTTTAGTAAGCGCCAATACATTTTTCTTCAAGAAAATATGTATTGCATTTTTTTTCGTTTTTAGAAAATCTAATAATGTTTGAAACAAATTAACAATTTTAGGTATCTTAACCATCAGAAATGCTTAATGATAGTTTCAGCTCTTTTGTCGATTTAAAAAAAAATATTCTAATATTTATTTCAATTATCAGTTGTTTTATTTTAAAATCATTTCGAATTATTTTACTTTAAATTAATAAACGGAGTAGGGGGTTACTTTCTAGTTGTTAAAAAAATAGTTGCTGTATTTCAGAACAAAATATGAGTATACTACATGAAACAGCAGAGGCAATACTTATAAAACATCAACCTACCTGTGTGAAATACTTAAACAGTTCGATGAAAGACCGAGTATCCTCATATTGGTTGGTTTTCACGTACTTCAAGATTTGGATAAAGACGTCGACGTTCAGGTCGTTCTTGTCAGATCGGTGGTCGCTGGGAGTCTCTGCCCATCCAGCCACGTCAATTTCAAAGTCGTACCAGCTGTCTTTGTTGGTTTCACCCCAGCCATTTTGTGTCTTGTCACCCCAGCCATTTTGTGTCTTGTCACCCCAGCCATTTTGTGTCTTGTCACCCCAGCCGTTATTTTGTGTCTTATCACCCCAACCATTGAGTGTCTTGTCAACCCAGCCGTTATTTTGTGTCTTGTCACCCCAGCCATATTGTGTCTTGTCACCCCAGCCGTTGTTTTGCGTCTTATCACCCCAGCCGTTGTTTTGTTTCTTGTCACCCCAGCCATATTGTGTCTTGTCACCCCAGTCATTTTGTGTCTTATCACCCCAACCATTTTGTGTCTTGTCGCCCCAACCATATTGTGTCTTATCCCCCCAGCCGTTTTGTGTCTTGTCACCCCAACCATTTTCTGTCTTGTAATCCCAGCCATTGTTTTGTGTCTTGTCACCCCAGCCGTTGTTTTGTGTCTTGTCGCCCCAACCATATTGTGTCTTATCCCCCCAGCCGTTTTGTGTGTTGTCACCCCAGCCATATTGTGTCTTATCACCCCAACCGTTATTTGTCCTATCTCTCCAAGGAAACAAAGGGACCCTATTGTCTTGATCCCTATGTCGAGGGCCACCCAATCCTGACACGTTCACACCAACGTTGACGTTAACTTCCTGTTGCTGACCGCCCCAGCCGGAGAGCGTGTTGTTGACCTTGTGGCGGCCATCTTGATCTCTATCACCATATCCCTGCGTCAAAAATAAACAAAAAATGTAATGTAGGCCTTCTGTGTTTTGAAGTCAATGTTGTGTATGTATATGTTAGGGTATGAGAGTATGTGTGTTTTGGAAGAACTGAGGTTAAGCGAATGGATGTATTCCTTATAAACCACTCTAAAAAAAAGCTAACACCCGCCACCCCAAAAAAAAAACAAAGAAAAAATTTATGAAACTTGCTTGCACTTTTAGCTTTTATTCCTAACTCTAACCAGAGGCGGATAGGGATTTAATTTTAATGGATGGCGGGCTTATCTGGAAAAGATCCAAATAAATTAAAGTGCGATTTATTTTAAAACTGTGACATACGTAAGAGACAGCGAATCTTTTGTGATGGTTGGTTGTTGCTGTGAGTACTATAGGTTATCGGACAAAGAGTTGAGCATTGTGTCTGTGTCTTGTATTTGTGTAGTCTCATGGAATAAAAGTTTCTCTAAAGCTTATGTGTTATTTCGTCTAAGTGGTTGGTTGTCATTGTCTAAGTGGTGTCTTCGTCTCATTGTTGTAGATGGGCGAATCGTTAAGTTAAATTAGTCAAAGTCTTATCACCGTGATTCTGACGGTTATTCAATGTTAAAGTCACAGAACATTATCACGTATGAGTGATTAGTCAATGTCCTCTAATATAGACGGCAAATAACACCCAGCTTTAACACGTTACAATTTCATTTTCTGTTTCTTTCATGGAGATACTCACAGAGATAGATAATCAATATCGACGCCATGGGACAGGGCATTTCTATGTTTTGTAAAGACACGGCATCGAATCCCGATTAGCCTACTGCTTTGTCTTTACAATATTTTTTTCCTATTGGATTATTATTGTATTACCTGGATACTGGCTGAAAATAATTTTATTTAAGATAAGGACATGCAAACAAAATAAAGAAAACTATATTTACATCTGGTCTAAATCTGTTCACGTCTTCGTCATTGAATGGTTTTCCAAACACAGACGTAGCTATGGCAACGAACGACGCCAAAACAAACAGGCCCTTTTGCATCATCTAAAAAAAAAACTACACTATATCAAACAGATGTTACAATATCATGCGTATGCATTACATTAAACATACATTTAGACTAAATGTTTTAAAATAAAACTTAAAATAAATATACTTTTTGAACACTAATATCGAGTAATGCGATTATCTTAGTAACAATACACAATGAAATATACATTTTCCTACCTTGCAAGTGTAAGGGGGGAAGACTGTGAACCAAGATGGTAATTCCGTGTCTTATATACCAAAATGTTCCCACACCTGCAGTTATTACCCCATCTTGACCTCTTGTCGAAAACTCAGACTAAGTAAGACACCGTCTAGCAATTAAATAAACATTACACCTATGTGTCAATAGTCAAATGATCCACACTTTATTTTAGCACATCGAGTGCAGCTATTTTTGGTTAATTAAAATGAAGTGATCAATTGACTGCTACAGTATCTACTGTCAGGCTAAGTGGATTAAGAAAAAAAAGGTAATGTTTTAACAATTTCACCTGCGTCGCTATGAAACTCGTTATTCCTCCACATTTAGTTTTTAAATAGTTACTTCTTCTAATTTCTTTAGTTATTTACAAAACCTTATAAACAATGTTTGTTCCTTAAATATATCATTTAGTTATTTACAAAACATTGTAAACAATGTTGTTCCTTAAATATATCATTTAGTTATTTACAAAACATTGTAAACAATGTTGTTCCTTAAATATATCATTTAGTTATTTACAAGACCGTGTAAACAATGTTTGTTTCTTAAATATATCATTCTAGATTTGTAAAATTTTATTTTCCCGAATTTTTCCAAGTTTGTAGAATCAGAGGCCGTATTACACTAAACATATGTGGTTGTTCTAGAACTAAACTTAAGCTGGTATCACTACCCCTACCCTTAAGTGTTTCTTTCAAATTGTTTTCTCCGGGTGGGGTCGGGGGGGGGGGGTGCGCTTGTTATTTTAGGGGGGGGGTGGGGCGGTCAACATTTTCCGGGGGGGACGGACGAACACTGGTAAAAGTATGTTTTCAATATAAATTACATTTCGTTGGGGGGGGGGGGAGGTATGTGTGCCCCCTCCACCCTAAGAGATGCCTGGAAGAACCTTTGTTACCATTATTTTTGAACTAACTCTAATCCTAAATTTGGCAGTAATACAAGTATGGGAAATAAAACTCGATTAAGAACCACTGAGAACTGATCATTGGGGGGGGGGGTCTTGATGGAATATAGGTGAGTTCGGATCAATGCTGTCGTCCACATGTTTAATTTTATATCTAAATATTACATCTAAAAGTTTAAAAGTGTAAACAAAATTAAAAAAAAAAAATAAATGTATATAAAATATATTTCATATATATATTTAATATGAATTGAACAGGTTATTTTCGTGTTAAAAAACACCAGCTCAATGAGTGAATAAATGTATCAGAGATGTAAGTTTATAGGAAGAGGGTGTGGGGTGACATCGACCTCGGCAATTTTCTAACACATTCCACGGTATTTCAAGCTCATCTGTAAACATTTCAAAGAATTGAAACATAAGTTAAAAAACAATGAGATCTAGACCTCCCTGATAGATCGTCCTGTCAAATCATATTAGGCCCACCTCAATATTTTCTGTCAAAGATAGGACAATGTAGATCTTTTTTTTTCAAGTAATAAACTCAAAATAACCACGTTTTAAAATTAGAACTTAAAATAACGGCGCGTGTAGAATATGCTTACGTTATCAGAAGCTTTAAGCTTTAACGACCAGACTACGCCAACCAATACTAGAACCATGATCCTCATAAAACCACACAATAAAGTCCTAACAGAGCAACTAAATATCCCAGCCAAATTGATATTACTATTGGCCAGACGTAGAAGATCTAGTAGTAAAGGGAAATAATTACAGAGTCTAGCGCTAAAAATATATTTATTCCCTTTTTTTATAAAAATTAAACAAAACTGTGGTCATTATTCTAGTCGTCTGAATTTATTTTTTGAGTCAATACTAACTGTAAAGTACGTCTTTCAGATCACTTCAAACAAATAAATAAAATAAAAAACGTTATGTATTATAGCCATTAATAATTTTAAAATTTGTTTATCTTAAACATTTTTGTCAAGAGTATATGTCATTCAACTGTAAATGTTTTAGCACAGCAGCATTTTTACTTTCTCGTGTATACGAAGTATAGAGAAAGTATAGTAATCGTGCACAAAAATCACTTGAAATTTTAACAATTTTCACAGTATTGCACCTCAGTCCTTCATCACATCCGAAGTATAGAGGACTTATTTTAATCGGGCAAAAATTATCAATCCAGATTTATCAAAATTAAGAGGTTTTATGCGTAATCCAGTCAGAAAAACTGGGCTTTGCAATTCTGTCCGTATGTCTGTGTTTGTGTAAACACGATAACTTGAGTACCGTTACAGCTAGGTTGATGAAATTTCATATATAAGTATTTTATCAAAATCGTAGATCCGTATCAACTTTTGAGAGATTTCTGATAACCGGAAGTGGTACTTTTTCTACTTTGAAGTTTTCAAAAGCCTATAACTTGAGTACTATTTCAGATAGATAAATGAAATTTCACATGTAAGTAAAAGTTTTAATTGTCTACCTTCTGTTAAATTTTGAGTAATTTCCGTTGACCGAAAGTAGTAATTTACGCTACTTTCGATTTCTCAAAAAACTAATGTAAATTTTTAAAGTACTAATAATATTGCGCACTATTATGCACTTTTTTATTTGGCGTTCGCTTGGTGTGCAATTTTTTTGTCTACGAGATTTTATTCTATTTTTAAAACTTTAAGTATTTAAAATGGATTAAAAATCATGTCTATAGCCCGAGTTCCCATCCCCTGTTGTTTTATATAAGAATATTCGAGAAAGTTTAGGGGAGATCACTCCCGGTTTATTTACATAATCCCGCCACAAAATAATAAATTTTAAAGTGGTTACTTATATCTAGTTTTAATCTTTTATTTTTAGGTGTACCTAAAAGCTTGTCGCTATAAAGGTTTTTTTTTATTTGTTTTATTTTCTACTTTTTAGTGATCCTGATTTATGAAGTGGACACGACTAAATATATTTGCTCTAGAACACCATCAGTAGCTAGCGATATCTAAAAGAACTGCTCCTTGAAAAGCAGCCGTCCGTGACCATATTTTGCAGACGAAAGCAAGTTCTTTTTTTTTTACCTCCCTTTAGGTTCAAACTGTTTAAAAACTTTATTATAAGCCCCTAATCGCCTTCGCTAGAACAACCAGCTCTTCTATTGTAAACACTCTTGTGAACCAAAGCTCACCAGACTATTAGGGTGATCACGTTTAGCTAGTTATCTCCCCTTAAGTTATTGAATATAGTAATCTATCGAGCGATTTAATTTTGTTATCTCCACTTAGTGCCGAAACCGTTTAAATAATTTTTAATGACTAATTAAACATAGAATTAAATTTTTAAAATAATTGCATTGTAATCAAAGTGGAACGTATCTGAGTGAAAAGTTTGAACGAAATCGCTGCATTAGAAATGTGTCAAAATTGAGTTTTAAGATTTGCCACAAACACACAAAGAAACAAACAAAAAAAAAAGACGTTGCGAATTAAAAAAAGAAAAGCTTGTAAAAACGGCATGCTTTATAGGACAATAAAAAATTATAAATTTATTATGTCAATCATTTTTGTTATGTGATCTATATACTTCAAACACTAAGGTCTTGTAATGATATTTTCAAATGAGTTCATCCCGACGTATTTTTAAAGGCAAACAATAATCGATAAAAGCAGCTGTATGTTAAATTTTAAAACGTAAAATATCAATAGATGCAAATGCTATTTGAATGTACTAAAATTTTCCTTTTCTGTGTAAAAAGATAAAGCAATGTTATAAATAAAAGCGCCTGGACAGATGAAGTTCTAAAAGGTTAAATTGAACGGTTTTTCGTGTACGAAAATGAAACATTAATTGTAGTTTTACTAAAGAATTAGGCAGGTGTCGGTAATCAAAAGTGTGAACAAAAAAAATGTGTTAAAATAAAAAATATTTTAAAAAACAAAACATTTTTCATGTAATTTCATTTATTATTCATTTGTTTCAGTCCCACGTGAAATTCTAAAAAAAAAGGTTATAAAATTGCCGACATGAGTTGAAAAAGTCCTCCAGAAATCAAGTGCTTGTCTGTCTGATCTAACTTGATCCGTTGTTCCTTTAAGAAAAAAAAATTTGCTCTCAGTTTGATGAAGTGGGTGGTTAAGGTACACTGGTGTCACCTGTGTGAAATAGGTGACACCGGGGTGACGAGGTGACACGCGTGTGAGTAAATGACGTCAGATAGAGAAGTGAAGTACATTAGACAAGTTCAAATATGAACGAGTGGTAGGTGACGATTTGTAAAGGTAGATCTTCATGTAAACACATCAGGAAAGGTAGATCTTCATGTAAACACATCAGGAAAGGTAGATCTTCATGTAAACACATCAGGTAAGGTAGATCTTCATGTAAACACATCAGGTAAGGTAGATCTTCATGTAAACACATCAGGAAAGGTAGATCTTCATGTAAACACATCAGGTAAGATAGATCTTCATGTAAACACATCAGGAAAGGTAGATCTTCATGTAAACACATCAGGAACGGTAGATCTTCATGTAAACACATCAGGTAAGGTAGATCGATCTTCATGTAAACACATCAGGTAAGGTAGATCGATCTTCATGTAAACACATCAGGTAAGGTAGATCTTCATGTTAACACATCAGGTAAGGTAGTTCTTCATGTAAACACATCAGGTAAGGTAGATCTTCATGTAAACACATCAGGTAAGGTAGATCTTCATGTAAACACATCAGGTAAGGTAGATCTTCATGTAAACACATCCGGAAAGGTAGATCTTCATGTAAACACATCAGGAAAAGCAGATCTTCATGTAAACACATCAGGAAAGGTAGATCTTCATGTAAACACATCAAGAAAGGTAGATCTTCATGTAAACACATCGGGAAAGGTAGATCGTCATGTAAACACATCAGGTAAGGTAGATCTTCATGTAAACACATCAGGAAAGGTAGATCTTCATGTAAACACATCAGGTAAGGTAGATCTTCATGTAAACACATCAGGTAAGGTAGATCTTCATGTAAACACTGAGAGCATCCCGTCATTATTGTAGACACGCTTCACCGATGTAGGTTGACTTGAACGTATTCATCCCGTTGTCTGCTTTTCTGTTTATTGTTTTGTGTAATTGTAAATGTTTACAAAAT